CTTTTAGACGCCTCTTGCTAGCAAGAGACCATTCAAAAGGGTATGTGACACATTTCGCCCTTAGTTAAAACATACTCACTGTACTGTGATTTTGCCCTGTGTGTACTTTCTGAAGAGCTCTCACTATGTAGCTGAGGTTGTGCTTGAGTTTAGAGCAATTCTTTTGCTTAAGTTTCCATGTGTAAGGGAGAGGGAAAGGAAGGGACATTGGGGAGTGGAAGGAAGACAGTGGGGGGGGGGCATGAACCACCATACTTGGCTCTCAACTTTTCTTGTAAATGTATGGATTTTTTTGTTTGTTTGGGTTACTTGTGTCTTCAAGGATAGATTTCATACAAGAATGAAGATGAGAGGGTCTGTTCTTGATCAGGTTGATATATGATGAGTTGTCTATCTTACACAGATATCATTTACTTAGCAACTGAGTGATCTTTTCTTCCTACCTTCCTGTCATCCTATGCTCTCTTCTACATGTGATGTGCTTATTTTGTAAGCAACTGACAATTGCATGAGATTGTTGATAAATCATAAATGTATTTTTGTATTTTGAGAGTGGCTACTGCAATCAGACATGGTCAGACACACTGTCAAAAGCACGTGGCTTCTTTCCACCAGTTCTGAAACAAGGATATGGAAGAGCAGCTAAAATATAAATGTCAAGGTTTCCTATATATTTCTTTAAATGCTAAAGATACACAGCAACAAACATTTTTTACATAGTTTGTAGACCTTAAAACTGTTACTCTCTTTCTTTTGCTGCTTGATGACCTATGTGTTGTCTAAATTAGGGTAAGCAATTAGGATATGAGTAAATTTCCTTAAAAACTGGAGATTTCCTCATTTAAGTGTAAAGTTTATTTTCAACAGAAGGTATTTTACACATTACACATTTTTCTGCTTTTGATTAACCATAGTTAACACTATTTTCAAAGGCAGTTTATGGTACTTTGTTACTGTAACTCTGATCATTAGCGTGATAGCAAAGATGTGCTGATGGGAGTGTCTAGTTCATCTGTCCGTTCACTGTATTCCACAGATCATGGTACCGAGAAAGCCTCCAGGAAACAGAACACTCTGACTACTTACAATGCTTTTTATGTCAGTGGCTACACCCCATGCTTGCTTTTGCATCAAAGAGGCTATCTAGTCTGTCCCTTTACTATAGATATATGGTTTGAAGATAGATTCATCTTTCAAATATGGGAAAATATATCTGTCATATCTGCTTCTCAACCAGAACTCTTACTTTATTGCTTGATGCATGGTTATGTCCCACATGGTAGCCTTGAAAGGCATCTGATTTACACAGAAGTGGAAATCATCTCTATTGCCCTCTCCAGTTTTCAAACCAGATGTATAAAATTGAATGCCCAAACTTAAATTATCAAAACATTCAACACATATACTTGACTTCTAATTACAAAAATCATGTGCAACCTGCAGTTTAAACCATAGAAGATATGGAACTACATATGCAATCAATGAATCATGAGGTATTTAATCTGAATATGTTGAAATATTAAATACCACTACCTGTTATATTTTAAACCTTTCACATACCATTTGTAGTTTTATGAGTGTACATTTTCTTACATAAATTTTAATTTCATTAAACTCATTCGAATCTTGGAATCATCCAGACATGAAAAACTTATCAAATAAATGATGAAAATAATTATTTTTCATCATTTTCAAAAATACTCTTAATGTGACCCTTACATCCAGACAAAAGGAAAGAAATTGTGTACAGTGGATATGCTCCTTCAGCAAGCTGAAGCCCCTTGAGTATCCCTGTACAAAGTCTGCGTACTTAACAACAACACTGCCATCATTCATCAGGATGCCATTTGAAGAGTAAGAGCGAAGCCAGGAGTTGTGCACACCTTTAATCCCAGTACTTAGGAAGCAGAGGCAAGAAGATCTCTGTGAGTTTTAAGCCAGCCTGCTGTGGGATGATCTGTATGTCAAATTGCTCTGATTGGTCAATAAATAAAACACTGATTGGCCAGTGGCTAGGCAGGAAGTATAGGCGGGACTAACAGAGAGGAGAAAAGAAAGAACAGGAAGGCAGAAGGAGTCACTGCCAGCCGCCGCCATGACAAGCAGCATGTGAAGATGCCGGTAAGCCACGAGCCATGTGGCAAGGTATAGATTTATGGAAATGGATTAATTTAAGATATAAGAACAGTTAGCAAGAAGTCTGCCATGGCCATACAGTTTGTAAGCAATAGAAGTCTCCGTGTTTACTTGGTTGGGTCTGAGCAGCTGTGGGACTGGCGGGTGACAAAGATTTGTCCTGACTCTGGGCAAGGCAGGAAAACTCTAGTTACACCAGCCTGGGCTGCATGTTAAGTTTCAGACCAGCTGAGACTATATAGGGAGACCCAGTTTCAAAAAAAAAAAAAAAAAGCTATAAATTGAGTACTTCTTTGGTATTCTAATGCTCTTCATTCATAAGAAAGCACAAGACATTGGTATTGGCAGATTTTATTCATATAATAAGAATTTTACATCTCCATAAACATGTTCACATTGTATCTTTTTCTTATAACAATTATCACCACCTAGAGACATATATCAAAGGTTTTCATGGCTCCTTAACCTTTACAGCTCTGGAGTCTGTTCAATAGGAACATAATTTTTAAAAAAAAGGAAAAAAGAAAAATAGAGATAGTTTTTGCTTTTTATAAAGACTGTCTTTAGAAAGCTTGCATTTTATGTGAATTTACTAGATTTCCTCATAGGTAAATCACAGGAAGGTAAATCATAGGTAAAAGACAGGAAAACTGGCTTTCCCTAGGTACAATTTATCAGGCTTTTGTTAATATTTATGTTTGAGTATGTTATTTCTTGATTTCATCATTATCTCACTCTGTATTGCTGCTGTACTTTGGGACAGAGATCACATCAGAAAGCAAATTTTATAAATTATGTTCTTAATAAGTGGAAAAACAAAAAAAGGCTTAAGATTGTAACAGTTTATTATAACATATAAACTATCACTACCACATATGGTACTAATCTATCTTTTATTTTGTTATTTTTTTCAGTCCTTTTAAATTCATTTTTCTATCTACAGCTAAAAATAACTGGCAACTAAAAGCAAAACTGAGAATCTGTGGGTTAAAAATTCTTCTATGATGGACAGCCTTGAATTGCATCTCCAGGCTAGGACACACTGAAAATTATGACTTTGCTGAAATGACTTAGCAAGAGTCCTTACCACCAGTCTCTTCCTATTAAATATGTCTTGCACCAAATAAAAAAGACATCTCTCTAGAAAAAACCAGAATTTCATTGTTTTGCTTCAAAGCTTTAAATAGCTTTAAAGCTATTTTTTACACACACACAAAACCAAACATTGCTTTCATGTAAACCTAAATCCTTTATTATATGCCTCAACCTACTAGGTAAATTTTATCTCTTATTAAGCACCTTAGCATCTTTTCAATTCTCCTTCTGCAATAGTAACTTAATCAAATCATGGACCACTGCCAACAACATCAACCTCCACCTCATGTGCTTATGTGAACACTTCTCTTCTGCCTAGGTAGTCCTTATTTTTCTCACTCCTAGCCCCTACTCAAATAGCACATTCTCTATGAAGTTTCCTAGTCCTCCTTCTCCCAGAGTTTGTTCAATTAATCTGTATTCTATAGTTCTTTGATTAAACCTGAAGTTTTGCACAACATATTGCCCTACTTTACCCCCCTCATTCCTCACACTCTTTGTCTTTTCAAAGGTAGATACTGTCTTGTCTTTGAATTTAGAGCCCAGCACACAGTAGAACTTCAATCCATGTTTACTGACCAGAGGAAAATCTATTATGTGACATTGTCTTTCTATGACTTAGAAGTCATACTGTGTACTACACCAGTATGGATGAGATCTTCCTACACAAATAACTACTAGATTGATGAAGAACCTAGTAAAATCATACCTTTCTCCTAGTTACTTCTACCACTTCAGTTGGAAAGAACAGTTGCAACTACAGAGCATAGGTAAGCTCCACTAGTAAAGAGAGAGACTTCTTGAATTTTTATTTACTATAAATTGTGACAGAGTCATAAGTGACAGGAAGGCTCTTGGTTTAAAAACTAATGGTATATATATTCCATTTAACCTTTGTGAGATATTTGAAAACATGGCTGCTAATACTTTGATTGTCAAGGATTATGAGCATAGACCAGACAGAGTTGTTTTTTTTTTAATTCCAAGAAATATAATTCTATCATCCATCCACCTCTGCATCCACCCATTCATTCATCCACCCATGTATTCATCTACCCATGCAGCCATCCATCCATGAATGTATGAGCTATTAAATCTCTAATGTCTACAATTCTATGTTCATGAAGATTAGATTCCAAGAAAATGTAAGAAGTCCCAAAGATCCTACAAGAACTTAGACTTGATCAAAAAGAATTAGATGGGATGGGCAGAATGGCTCACAAGGTAAAGCTGCATGCTGTGCATGCCTGATGACCTTATCAGACAGAACTCATGGTGGAAGAAGAGAACCAAATGCTGAAAATTATTCTCTGACCTCCACCTACCCACCCTCACAAATACATCACACAGACATGCCTAGACGCATTGTCTCTTGCTCATACACACTCATGCTTGCAATATATAATAAATAATACTTGAAAAATGATCTGAAAAATTTAAGAATAGCATGTCTCATGAACACTAAAGTTAAGTTTCTCCAAAGGTGCCATTTGCCTGGGTGTACTCCTTACTCTTTGTATGTCACTTCCCTGTATGGACAGTAGTTTGGGACATCACATTTAACTTTAAAGGGGCCCGACAATTTGGAGGATAAGTTATTTTTTAAACACTGAAAAAAGGAGCACTGAAATTCCAAATGATACTTCAACACTATTCCCAGTGAAAGCATGTCAATGGTAGCAGCAGTCCTGTACACTTGTTTGTTCGAAACAAGAAAACCTATGGAGTTAAGATATGTGTAGCTTTGACACGAGATAACACAGATCTACCTTTGCTTCTGCTGCATGGGTTGCTGTCTCATAGCCATATACTGCATGTCTTCTTGTAGACGGTTAAGAGGAGAATCTGGCTTCACACGAATCCCATAGTAATGGTACTTGGAGTTTCCTCTTCGTAAAAGAACAATAAATATAGAAACACGAAAAGTCAGTAAGACTAATATTAACCATTAACTTCACAAAGGAAAATTTGGTTAAAACATTATACGAACATTTCACATTTATGATTTCTCTTTTCTGGATATCTATTATTTCTATAGTGACATTCCAAAAATCAAAGTAAGATCCCAAAACAATCACCTCAAGGGTAACATTTCCTATAAGTGTTCACTTCAATATTTATCTGATATTTGTCCCACTCATATTAATTTATTTTCTAATATATATTTGAACTTTAATTTAGAAGGGGTAATGGTTGGAAAAGAGCCAATCACAATCCAACCACAGCACAAATCATGGTACACTAGACAGCAACTTGCCATAAACACACAGAGAAAAGAAAAATCTTTATTCTATAGTCTTGTATTAATTGTGTGTTTAATTTAGAAATGATGGTATAATATCATTGTTAGATGCTATGATGGTTTATTATTTAATGTTTTGAAACCGAAAAAGGAAGGTACTTAACATGTATCTTTTAAAATACATTTTATCATTGATTTTATTGATTCATATCTGTAATTTACTAATAAGATATACCATAAAAGATTGGGACATTCCCCTCTAAAAATGGTCAAGTCCTTCTGGAATAAAAATTTTGGAACTTCTTAGTGTTCATGAAAAATACCATGCTTGATATTAGAAATGACAATTTTTATCCTGAATGGAACTTGCAAATTCTTGCAAAATTAACATTTTAAATATGTAAATTCTTGCAGAGAGACTAGTTTTTCACAAGTCTATATATAGCAATATGTCAGTGAGTGCTTTTCCAATTTTTTCTTTCATTTACAAAGAGAAATTTAAGTGGTGTGTGGATTAAATATTTTTAATGAAAATAGAGAATTTGACTTCCAAGACTAACAAACATACATTAGATGAGCCATACATTTGAAGAGACATTAAAACCATCAAATCCCTGCACTTTCAAGAAAATGAAATAGAAGTAAAAACCTAATTGCCTGCAGAGAAAGACCTTCCACTTGAGAGATTAGATCTTATTTATAAAACCCACTGAGATTAGAGCAAAAACCTACAATAAAACCTACCCCCAACACACCTGGTGGTGTTCTATACAAACTAGAGGCTGTAGGGAGAAAAGGGAGGGTAGGAAGCAGGAGGCATTAATCATGGGAAAATGGACAAAATAAATTGATAGTTTTCTTCTGAGATGCGGTTTCTTACAAACTAGGATGGGGTGGAATGAGAGGTAGGTCTTTTTATCCCACTGGGAATGGACAGGGAAGAGAAGTATACCCAGAGTCATCCTCAGTCAGATGTAATTTGGAGATGGGTTCTATCAAAACATACCCTTTGCATTGCCTTTGGTAGAAATGCAATGGTTTTATTTGTTTTTTGTTTATGTAAGTGCCAAAAGTGGGTTTGGTCAGGTTTGGATAATTTCACTAGACAATCTTGTTGGCACATAATGTTTCTACAGACTGTTCACTTAAAAACAAACAAAAAACCTTGAGATTGAATCTGCCTCTTGATCTACACTGATTTTCCTTTCATTCCTTGGAGGAAGAGTGAAAAGCTGCCGTCAGTTCCCACAGCAGAAGGATCTCTGAGATTTCATCCCTAATACCATCAGCATTCTCTATTAGCATTCCCCCAGCTTCCTAACATGCTATTTGTTTAAACTCAACCCACAGCATTTATTCCCTCCTCATTCATTTAGGTTTTCCTTACAACTCAATTGCGAACACCACACATAATGTTAAAAGAATTAGGAGACAGACTTCTTGGGGGTAGGGAATCGAAAGTAAAAAACAGCAATACTGCAGAATGTACTTGTGGAATATGGATTCTACTCATTGACAAACCCAAACAACCCCAATTTTGTCCCTTTCTATTTTAAAGATGTGTTTCAAGGTTTGAATAGAGCCTCAAAATAGGATCCATTGAAATCCTTTTCAGTAACAAAAGCAGTACAACAATACAGCTATTAGAATGTTGACTAAAGCCTAGAGTTTCAAAATATTGGCACCATATGTGTAACTACTGAGCCATCAGCTAGGAAATACTAGGTTAGGTCTCCAAATAATGATTTTCCTGGTTTGGGGGAGAGGAAATACAAGAGAAACAAAAGTTCTTCTTTTCAAAGGAATGAAAGCTAGTTTCTTCAGTCTGAATAGACAATCACATTCTGCAATTTAAAATATACTACCTTTTGAAGTACCAAAAGAATATATTTATGAAAGAACTGAACCTCTGGCAATTTGAAAGTTGCACATTTGCTTCAAAGCAAGCAAAAGAAAAAATTCACAGTTCAAATACATCCAAACTCTCCTAAAACTAACACAGTAATGAGGTACTGGGCATACTATCCCAAAATATGGTACTCAATATTAGCGAAAACAGCAGAAACAGGTGCTGGAGTAGAAAAAATGCTCTCACTTCTTATCCCGTGAAGTGGGTGATAAAATGTAGCTGATATTCCTTTGTAAGTAGGTCTTAGGACCCTCATGACAGAGGGGCCTTCCTCCATCTAGAGGAAAGGAGTATCTTTTTGTCTGAGGACACAGCATGGAATCTGAATGAAGGGCCTTCCTGGGCCACCCTTCATCCTATTTATAATTTTAGATCACATCACTTTGCCCAATCATGCTTCTCCAGGAATGTCCACTTCTTCAGAGTTAGTATAAAAATCACAATTTTTCATTTCTTTGATTCTTTATATATAAAGGCATCACATTCTATAAAAATTATACTACAGAAATGGTTTCCTACTTAGCTTTTATTTTCTACTTGGGTCACCTGAGAAGAAAGCCCTCAGTGAGAAACTGACTAGATCAGATGGCCCTGTAGGCATGTCTCTGGGCGGATAACTTTTAATTGATACAGGCATGTCCAGATCAGTGTGAAGTGGTACTATGCAAAGGCAGGTAGTCAAGAGCCTGTGAGTTAGCCAGCAAGAAGCATTTTTCCATGGTTCCGGCCTCCAGGTTTCTGCCTTTAGTTCCTGGTCCCGACTTCTCTCAATGATGGACTGAGACTTGTTAGTGTAAACCAGTTAAACTCTTTCCTCCCTAAGTTGTTTTTGGTCACACTGTTTATCACAGTAACAGAAAGGAGGCTAGAGCACATGGGTATGCATTTCCCATGTTAAACTGTGTTTGCTATGGGGAATCTGAGCCACGTTTCTGGAGATGGTTAGGGGCAGATTAGTCTTTTCTCTCTGAAAACATTCACTTATCCTTTCAGCATAAACTCGTAATGATGTTAATTACTAGGGTATTACAGAGAGGAAAAAAAAAAAAAACCTTTGTACCGTAAGCCTTTGAGGCAGTGACTTATCACTAAAGATCTATCACCCAATGTACAGTGCAGCATCTCTAGTTTAATGTTTTATATATAATTCCTGTATGATTTAGAAAGCCAACCAATTCATATATTTTCCCTAACTGCTTAAAGTATTAGTTTTCAATTTGTAGAAACCATAGAGAAAACGAAGCTCCAAGATTCTAAATTTTCTTTTCACCATACTAGCTTAGAAAACAACATCCATTGTTTCTGAAGGAAAGAAACCCATGAGACTGAAAGTCCCTCCGTCACATCACTGGTCTCTAAGGTGGAAATTTTCACAATCAAGTGCAAGAGAAATGACGAGAAGGATTAGAAGGCTAGTAAAAGGCAAAACAGGGCCTTTAGCAAGGACTTCAAATATGCACATTTCACAAGTTTATCAGATAAATTCCTTTAATTTGTAATTTACAGAATTACAGAATAAACTGGAAACCTCCACCTGAACTTATTCTTCTAGTAAAATAGTTTTCATAAAAATAATTAAATGTATTTTAAAACAATAAGGAAGTGCTTAGTTTCCCATTTACTATGTCACTTTATTCATGTTTAATAGGTTTATTTTCAAAAAGCAATGACAGTGGTATATAACAACGTTCAAAAGTATCATGTGCAAATCTTGTACGAACAGGCTGCCCTTCTCATTTCTATGCAGTTTGAAAACCAGTCTGGTGATATTCACTGAATAAAAATGTTCCTTTTCCTATGGACTTTATAAAGTGACTTCATTCTATATTTATCTCTTTCATGTTTTCTGAAATCAAGTACATTTCTGTTCACTGTACAACATGGCTGTAATTTGATAAAGAAAGACGAACTATTATGTTGACTGTCAGTACTAACCTAGTTCCTAATCTCCTAGTCCGTAGCCCCATAAAAATGGACCTTATTAGTTTTCCAAAAGAGGCAGCGTTGACTGGGTCCAGTTTGTGTTCCTGACAGTGTCGAAGGTAGTGATTGTACAGCGTGCTTCTTGGAAGGCTCACTCCTTCTGCTGTCTCATAATTGTCCAACAGCCACTGGAGCTGTTAAGATAAGAGAGAATAAGCAGAGAATTCACGTAATTTGCCAAAACTTCGGCAAGATACAGTATGTACAAATACTTGGAAGTACTTCATTAACTCTTAGGATAAACGGGGATTATCCAGAAGCTGCTAAATCTGACTTTCTAAGCTCTGGGAAATGTCACAGCAGTTACCAGTTTAGACAGTATCTTATCTTCAAATTTTCAAGCATAAGTAGAGATAATAATTTTCCCTATATTGACTATAATTGTGGAGACATATACTTCTTTAAAGAATTCAAATAACAGCATTCACTGGTCAAAATGAATAATATAAACAAATTATTTATAATTGTTATAAAACAAAACATTCTACTAAGCCTGGCAACATAGCAGCTAATATATCCTCAGCCTGGTAATATGGTATCTAATTTATCTTTGGTGTTGGTTTGTTACAATATGTAAACAGCAGGCTTAATTATATGAGGTTTTAGATTAAGATTTTATTCTTTTTTACAGAGTTTCAATTTACTTATCTCCAAATACCACTAGATAATACAATAACATTATTATCTACTGGGACAAATGTTGCAAATAGGCAAAATTTAGTCATTCTTCCTTCCAAAGAAGTACACCCACTAGACGTTACAAATAACTTCTATATAACAAAAGGCAATAATTTTTACAATCATCTCAATTTTCTACCTCAAAGTTGAGGTGTCTTTTTTCCTCAAAATTTTAGAAGGCACATTACCATGCTAAGTAGTAAATAATGTTTTTTCTACCTAAGGCTTACATTTTAAAGTTTTATATTGTACTTTATTTTTTGAAAAATGTTTAAATTTGGAATGTACAAGAAAGATCTCTGCATATATATATCTATATATATCTCTCTATATATATCATATATATGTTACTAAATTTCAACTTTTTCATTTACTTCCTTACAGAAAAAGTGACATAAATGGAGATGATTTCCCCAAGTTTACATATTGTCTCTATGCCTGAGTGTGGTTTCTAATTCTTATTTCCTAATTACTCTAGACCAACAGGCCATTAAACAAGCAAATGTTTTATATTATTTGTCTCAACCATCTTCATGGAATGTATTAATGGAATAGTAAAGAGCAAACATTGAACCCAGATTGTAATTAAGTGTGAATTATCGAAGTAAAATAATTCAAAGATGAATGTGGATCTACCTGTCTTCTAGGTATTTACTTAAAGGCTAAAAGTGATGAGGATCTGGACATTCATGTAAATCAAAGAATTATTCTATTTTATCTATTAAGTTTATGTATGTCATCTAAGACTTTTGATGAAACTTGGAACCAGAACTTTCAGATTTCTTATAAAAATTATCAAAATGTTTCAATTATTTTTAAACTATAACAACTGAATTTTCCATAGCATTTCAATTTCAAACATCCCTAAATAATCATTAAATAGCAAACATATCATCAAACTTGCAATAACTAATGGCTTTGAAATATACCACAAAGTATGTAAGATACTTGTAAAAATAAAATTATGTCCTGTTCAGGAAGAATTCTAGTTCCCTATGGAACACATATCTATAGGAATATACAAACTTTAAATATGTATTGTGTCATTAATAATTCAACACTATAAAACACTAAAAAGATTACACAAATTAGCTCTCCTTTTTATAGTGACAGAAAAGTATTACAGGTCATAAAGTAATTTTTTTCATAGTGTTTATTTTTAACCTCCATATCAATAAAAAGTTTTCCAGAGAAAAGTTTTCAAAAATGAGTGTTGTGTATTGAAAATAACACACAGCATATGTTCTATATAGGCATCTGTTTAATATAAAACATCAGAGGTGAACTCACACATGCATTAAGTCACTGAGGTCAAAGTCAGTACTCTACTTAGAGCAGTGGACTGGCATGCTTCTTTAGAGGTTTTCCTTTTTTAAATTTCAAGAATTTAAAAATATAAAACACAAGAAAGAAAGACAAAATACAGCAATACAAACCTGGCTCATATTTCATCCATGCGCCTCAGTAAAATGATCAGGATTTGAAAGACTTCAAGTGGAATTCAAGTAGCCATGTGAACCATATTGCATATGGCTGAGCTACAGCCTAGTTAGAGCTAGTTTGAGCAAGACACAACGGCCTTCTCTGGGTATTTTTAACATGTTAAAAATAGAAACACAGACCCTTGATATCAAGGGTTAACAAGGAAATACTAAAAATAAAAAAAAAAGCTCTTGGAAGGATTTTGTATAAAGTGAAAATATTTTAAGCAGTTGCAAATGATATAATAAATTTCTCATATACACAAGTATACATCATAAAACACATTAAAGTTAAAAGTAGTAAAGTGGTGTGTGTGTGTGTGTGGGCACATGTGTATGTGTGTGTCCATAAAAGGCTTAATAACATGATTAAGAAAGAGGAGTGAAATGATCCAATGTTCTTTCCTTTTATAATGAGCAGGTGACAGATACTTATATAGAAAATCTTAAAGGACATTTCCCCCCAGAAATGGAGTAGTCGATTTTAAAATGTGAACTTTATAATTATAGTATAAAAATAAAAGTAGATCAATACAAATATATAAATCAATACAAATGAAACAATACTACAATAGTTGTATACTAGTATCATTATAACACTTAACTACTTAGAAGTAAAAAATAACTGGGTACATGAGCTTACTCATTTCTCACAGCCAAGGATGATATCTTAGAGATAAAACATTTTATAAAAGATTTTGAAAAAGCAAATATAAATATTTGATAAATTTAAACAGTGTATTTAATAAAAGTGGAAGCTAGCATAAGAATCAAAGGTCACCATAAAATGCTTCAACTCCAACAGTGGTTGGGTGTGAGAGTTAAATCAAGCCAATTTTAGTAACAATTTTTATATATGTAAAAAATAAATCTTTCCTTGTGGCAAAATGTCTTCTTTACTTATAGCAAAAGGTGGTATAAACTACTTAGAATCCTAAATGCTGTTACCCACACCACAGTTGGAGAATTCAGAGAAAATTGAGCTTTGTTTCAGAATAGCTATTTAATCCTTTTACATACAAGTAAAAATTTTGGCCTGTTTTGAAAACTTATATTCTTCCTATATTGTTTATATCTCTCCAAATGTTTTACTTTTAAATTAGTTTTTTTTAAAAAAAATACGAATTTACCAATGTGAGCACACAAATAATTATACACATGCATACTGCACAACATACAACTGTGTTTGGTTTATAAGTTCCAGGACAGGTGTCTTGGTGACTTAGGACTTGACAATAGCAAACTACATTTGTTTCTACCTCCATCTCATCAAAAGGAGGCACTTTATTCCTCGCAGAAGCATGGAGACTATGTGGGAGGAAAGAAGAGGGTCAACAGAAACAAACCCTGAAGATAGAGGGGCTGGTCTGCTGCCATGAAGTCCATACCATCTACGGTTATTATCCAAGAGACTTACTCGAGAAGCAATACATCATCTAGAATATGCCAGAACAGACTTGGAGACACAGCTGGAATATTTAATCTACATTCTACATACTACTATTTAATTTTCTGATTTTGACACATGATGAAATTATAAATCAGTATTAAGTCTAAAGTATAGGACTAGGTAGCATTATTTTTTATTATTACAGAAACTTAGCAGTTACATTTCTGTACTATAATGTAAAAGATGTTATGTCCCACATGCTGCCAGTGACTCTTATAAGGTACATTGTTTCTTGCTGTTTTCCCTTTAACAGAATGCAGTTGGACATTAGAATTCAATACCCTTAACATTTAGAAGTTTAGAAAGCAACTATCTGTTTCTCTTATTTTATTCTTTTAATAAACTATTTTATGAAGTGGTTATATTTACAAAATTTAAAGCTTGTGAAATAACATAGAAACTTTTGACCTTTATATTTGAAACCTAATTTTTCTAATAATGAACCAAAATATACTAATCTAAGGGCAGAAAGCAAGATAACTGCATCTTTCAACTTTGAATTTAATCTGTATTAATCAGAACAGATTACAGAGGATGAATGGTTCCTATTTTTCCTAAGGGGAAACATTAATTGACAAATAAAAATAGATAATGTTCTGTCCAATTAACATCTAAATGTAACATTTGGCATATTACAGATGGATTATTATCAATTAGGATTCACTTAAGTTCAGTGCACCTATGTTATACATTTGACAGGCCTATATTAATTTTTATTTACAACACAGCCAAGTCAGTGGTTGGTGAATGACTAAAATCCAAGATTTTTTTTTAAGCTGAATACATTTCAGTAGCTTAAGCTTGTAAGAATTATGAATCAATTGTCTGCTAGATTGTGGAAATTCTGAAAACATAAATGCCTAGAGGTTTTCATACACTTTAAGTGGAAATAAAAAGAAACTCATGCTTAAGTGCACTATGCAAATGCTAGTAGTAATTAATTTCACAATAATTTTATGTTGAAATTTACAATAAAAAATCCTAAATTGGATATAATACAAATACTAAATGAAAATATATATTAATTACAGCTCAGAGTACAAAATAAGCTAAAGTCTGTAACTAAAAGAATTAGATAATCTCTGGACTTAGGCAGTTGTATAAAATTATTAACAGCATCTTCACATAAATATAAATTAAAAATAAAATACACACATAAAAGTAGTATATGAAAATAATTTTATAAAACTAAAATCAAAGCACATTCTAAAATGCAAAGAGATGAATCATATCACTTTGGAGTACAACTTTTAAAGAATTGGACTAGAAGGAAAAAGTTACTCTTAATCTTAAAGATGTATGTGGGAAATTATAAACTGAACCACATATTCTTCCTTCAGTTAGAATGCCATTAAGAGAGAACCCTCTACTAATACATATACATTGATTGAATGTTTGGGGACAAAAAGAGAAATCAAAAAGTCTATGTATGAGTTCCTAACAGGCAATCACGTGATTGGGGAAGGAACCCTAGAAGATTAAAGAAAGGGTCTGTCCCATTCTATTGTTTCTGATATTCATCCACTAGGTAATATTTAGTATGCATTTACTATTACATAACAGCACTGCTCTAGGGACTAGGGTTGTGTTAGAATACAAGCCATAAAAATCCTAATTCTTTTAATATTTATTGGTTGTCTATGGTGTTAATGTTGACATGATGCCACCAGGTTAACAAAAACAGACTAAAGCACTGTATGCAGCATAACTCTCCTCAGCCATATCTGGAACACAGTATTGTGTACCAAACATAGAAATTTCACTTGCATTTTAATGTGGATGATAACAGCATATTGAAAATAATGAATATGGATTGGTAGCATAAATATTCTTTAAAAAACACTGGAAGGGGCTGGGAATACAGTGCGGTTAAGAGTGCTGGCTGCTCTTCCAGAGCACCTAGGTTTAAGTTACCAGCACCCACATGGCAGCTTACAACCGTCTTCAGTTCCAGGGGATCCACTGTCCTCCTATTGCCTCTCTGGGCACCAGAAATGCATGTGGTACACATAAAAACATTCAGGTCAACAGTAAAAATAAGTACTCTTTTAAAAAAAGAATATACTCAGAGAATGGGTATAAAATAAAATACTGCTTCATCATCAAATGTGTGGAAAGAAGGGGAAAAGGAAAGAGTCAAGTTGGATTCTATTAGAAAGGGATTATTTACTTAATTTGCATGTAATAATTTTTCTGAATTACTGTTAATTAAATGCATATGGAAATAATTTCTGTACCATATCACAAAATAAAACACCTTTATGCTCAAAAGTTACTATTAACATCCATTTTTAGAAGTTTGAATATAGACTCATAGATAATGATCCCTAATTTTCTTCCTAAAGAGATAGACCTTTTGTAGAAACTGTTAATTCAGAGAACTAATCATCATAAAGGTGAACTCAACTACCTCAAAGAACCCTATGAGTATCAAATAAGTCTATATTATACTCTCGTGATGGGTAACGGTAACATAGTTCATTAACATTTAAAATATGGGCAATATCTTTTAAAATATTGTTCCACTGTCAAATGTCTATGTGACAGAAAATCACCAATGAAGTCTGAAGAATTTGGAACACCTTAAGAAAGAAGTCACCAGCCAGAAGACATGTATTAAGCAGAATTTTATTTATTCTTAATTGTTTTTATTTCTATATTTTACTTTATAAGTATTATTACATATTTGTTTGTTTATTCCAGCTATTTGGGAAAATCCAATGAAAGTCAGGAGCATTATGAACTTCCTAAGGGACAATGTAAATGTTTTCTGCATTCAAGGAGAAGCTAACCAGATGGGCATCAGGAGAACACTGATCCTGTTGCTAAACCATCTGATCCTGTTCATAAACCATCTCCAGAACCATTCTTGTTTCTAAAGACTGAACTCCCCATACAGTTCTGAACAAACCTGACCACTTCAGAGAAGCAATAAAAATGAGTGAAGCCAGGAAACAAAGATTATCAGCACACGAGCAACATTTGTGTCCACCCTTCCTCCATATGAAACATAGCTAAGCAGATGGAAGATTTGCTACACTATGCAGTGGAAACACAAAACCAGGGAAGACTACATAATTGTGTTGTTTGAGCAGCTTCATTCACACCGTCAAGGATAATGAATTTTAGTTCACAAGTTCTAATAAAGAAAATGATTTTTAAATATCCCAAAATATTTCAAAAGTTTCAAACAAATAGAAATATTTTAAAAAGTTCTTATACCTACATTATTGTTCATGAAAATATCAATAAAGTTGGGTTATTGAAGTTAAATTTAAACAACATATTATGCTATATTTCATATCTCAAGAGTGAAATAAGAATTGGCTTTCAGAGACAATTCAGAAATCTGAAAATTTCAAAAGAGCAACTACAAATTTCTATTTATTTTTAAAAATACTTATATGCCTGCACACGTCTGGCTGGAAGTGATAAGCATTTTCACTTGCTATTTCCAATATACAAACTGGCAAATGCATCCTAATAGCATATGGTAAACTAGCCTTTAACACAACCACAGACTCATTCCAATAAGCAGGATATATTTAAGGACAAAGAGTGGAAAATTGTGTTCAAATTGTTTTTAAATAGAGGTGACAAAATATATATTCTTATTTTAAAGTTTCTATCTATAATTTTCACCAAAATTATAGGCCTTCTGCAAATTGGCTAACATGTTTGTGTTTGCCAAGAAACCTCTCTTGAAAAAGGAATGAGTCAAAACACCTCCTCCAAAAACAAACATTAGAACATCAAAAAGAACTGGGATTCCAGAATAGAAATCTTAAATAGTTCAAAGTTCAAATATTTTTTAAAAAACACAGTGAAATATTTTCCATAAATTATATGATTGTTAAAAATACTATAGCCTTTTTGAAAATTATTATGTTTTAGTGATCTTAATGTTAAAACTTTTAGTCATAAAATATTAAGACAAATTAAGAAACCACAATAAATTATCCCTAAATTAAAAAAAAAACAATCACTTTGGAAGGAAATATCTAATTCTTACTCAAATGTCACTAATCTTAATCTAGCACACATACCTATAACAGACTTAAGTCATCGATCCACTGACATCCCCATACATTCAGAAATGACCTTCTAAAAATAACCGTAACAAGCATTTTCACTGGTTTCCTCAAATTTGAACAGATGACGAAAATGTTGACTTCACACAACTTACCAGTGTTACAGTGATGGAGTACCTGGTAACCGTAAAAGCTTCAAAACCAGTAAGGCCACTCTGCTTGACTCAGATATTAGCAACTCACGGCTTACGTACAACTTCACTTTTGGCCCATTGTCATTTCTCTTCATTGTTTAGGACCTGAGTTCATCTGTGACTGTGACCTGCCTACCTTACAGTCTTACCAGTGAACACATTTTAAATAGTTTATCACTGCTTTTGGCATTTAGTGACTACTTATCCACTTAAAGACTGATACCAGCCACACAGTGGACAAGGTTGCTTCTATGTCTCAGATGTAAAGATGTGTATTACAAAGTTTTGCTTCAGAGGAAATAAATATGTGGGTAAAAAAATCTTTAAAATGTTTAAAAACACTATTAATTACATTTTAGAAATACATGGTGGCTTGTCGTTAATTTTCAAATTTGTATGTATAGACAAAAAGCACAAACACCCAGTAAGCAGCACACTGTGGTTCTGTTCTGAGACATCCCACTGTGTAAAATGGGCATTAAATGGTTAGAGTCTGAAGAAGCTTGAGAAAGGAAGGTTAAGAAGCAAAATAAATAAGGAAATAAATAAAACAAGCACTTAGAGGCAAGCAACACATGCAGAACAAGCAAGAGATTAGTGTACATGAAGAGGCAACTTACATGGCTGTTGAGAAGAGAGCTTCTGTGAGTGGACAGACCGTCAGACTTTTGCAGCGTCTCAATCGCCATTTCAATCTGATAATAGATGTCATTAAAAAAAGGGCTCAAGACAAGATAGTAATAAAAGGCTGACCAGAAATTTTTGATCGATTCTTAAAGTCTAATTCATTCTTCAATGATGGCTAATGAAGAGCTATCACTAAATGTGTTTCCCCCAGCTTTCCCATCCCTAGAGAATGAAATATAATATGCACATTAATAATAAGCTCAATTATAATAGTAAACCTTTCTGAACACTTTGTAATTATAATCAGTATGAAGATCCAAGGATCAAGAACCCTGGTAGATTGTTCTAGTTATAAGAAAATATTTTTTACTTGCATAGCTCAAGATGTGGGATATTGACCCCTCTCTATATAGCCTCACTTCTAAAGCATATTTAGCATTTGTTCTGTTCTGCCACAAAATGAAAATCATAAAACAAAATGTGAGTTTAAAACGCATTAGTATTTTAATGCAAGTTACAAAAACCCTTAATTATGCCTAAAAGCTAGTAAATCTACTCATTGCTCTTTTACTCTTGCATTAAAATTTGGAAGGGAAAGATCAGGTGAGCATTCAGATGTGACTATGGTCTCTACATTATATTTTAGGACATGATGATGAAGCAGAAATATTAGAATTAACAGCAGAAAAAAGAGAAGAGAAAATAACTCAGAGCCAACAAAAAATGGACAAGAACAGAATCAGTTACATTCAGTGTAACCCCAGCACACCATGGGCAATCACAAAAGTCTCCTTAAGCAACAGCTTCCAGGGACAAACCCGAGGCACTCTTGATGACCTCACATGTAAGACAGCTGTCCTTCAGTTCAGGGAACTACTGCACATTCTACTGAGCCAGGGACTAAAGAGCATGCATTTGGAAACTGAGTTATAGTAAAACTAGCTAATTAAAAATATCATTATACAATCTGAGAAGACAAATTTCATTAATTTTTCACACTATGAATCCATCAACAATTCAGTGTAAGCATTTATCAATTCACAAAGATGTACAATAATTTATTCTATAGTTAGCTATTTTTGAGATCCTGAAACCAGGCAAAGTGGCTTTTAAATTATTCCCTGCAGCAGCTGAGATGGTAACAAAGTTAATATTAAACTCAAAAGTAAACAGAAAAAAGTGATATTGTGTATGTTAAAAATTATCACATTTTAGAATACACAATGTGAATGTAAGGAGCAAATATTTTTTGCCAAAATGCTAAACTAAAAAAACTTGGTATTCTATCTCGTAAAAGGATCAATAAGTGCTCTTATTTTCAAAGGGAAAGACAGAGCATATGATAGCTGAAACATTCATGTGATTATAAATCATTTCTAAGAAAAATTTGCTCAAAATTGTACTTTGCAAAAATGCCTACAGTTTCTGAGGGTAGGAATTTTGAGGTGAGACTGCAGTTTAATAAACAAATATAAAACAATCCCTAATTCTTGACTTTATAGGTTTAAATGAAAGGTAAAAATTACCAGAATTCTAACAGCTGAATCCCACTTAGGAACCAATCCTTCTGAGGCAGCAGCTTCAGTCAGATCTGTCAGCAATTGGTTTCCTGCGGGAACTATTTGTGTTACTGACATGGCTACAATGGCGGCGCCTGATTTCCAGCTGATGCCCTACGAGGCCAGGTGCTCAGGGAATGAGCCACCCCACTCAGCCTGTTTTCTGGTTTTGTCTTATTTTTTCGTGTATGCTGAAGACTACTCCCAGTCCTTCTAGCTATATATGGTCTCCTCGAGCCATTTAACAAGGCACTCCAGGAAGGTGGCAAAATGGCAGGGGGGAAACAGATCCAACTGCATCTACCAGGACAGATACACTGCCTGTCTTGGGGGTGTTGATCCTTCAGAATACAACTTCTGAGAATATGACCAAAGCTGTGAACCCTCCATTCAGACAAACTGTACTTAAAAAGTTATAGAGCTGTACACGTTTTTTCCACTGTTTAAATTTTCTCTGAGTTTAAAATTTATATTAAAAGAGACATATTCCCTAGTGAAAAACATGAGGAAAGTGTATTCTAGGAAGCAAGAGATGAAGCAAGTTAGGAAGCAAAATGGCACAGGGTGTGCTCATATTAAAGAAAGGAAAATGAATGCAGCATGTGGTGTACACACACAGAGACACAGAGACACACAGACACACACACACACACACACATACACACACACACACATACACACATACACTCCTATGAGTTAAACCAAGAAAAACAAAGTCATTAATATTTTGAGGGAAAGTGTATGAATGTTTGAAAGATAATTTCAAATAAAGGCAGGAAGTGGGTTTTGATTAGAACAGTGGGTTTTGTTAGTCATGGGGCTAAATGTACCTTTCAAATGTTTATGAATTGAATAGAAACTTTAAGCTCGAGTAACATGGAAAACTATCTACATTCATATTCCAGATTTCTAGACACATCATTACAGGAAAACTGAACATTTTCTTTGTAGCATGACACACACACACACAAAGAGGCAGGGCATAGTTAGAGAACCAAACTTATCTGAGCAAGCAGCTGAGAGCAGTTTACAATGACCACAATCAGAGAAACCTAGATCCCAGCAGAAAACACAGGCATAGCCCCTCACTGTTAGTTTTATTGTGATTGACTCAACTTGTGAGAAAAGAGAAGTTCTACAAAAAATTGTATTTGGCATTGGGGTACCTGGAGGAATGGGAAAGGGGGGCGTTAAAGCAATACAGGTGTCACTTACCTCCTTCATCAAACATGAGATTCTCAAAAGACATGACACCATTGAATACTTAAGTGGGTTTTCCTCAATTGGGAAAAGGAACCATAGGAAACCTGGAGCACCTGTTAAAAGCTACACTGGTTTATTGGCTTCCAGGGTAGAAAACTGAACGGCCACTATGATGGAAAACCTTGACTGTTAACAGACTGTACTAAGACGCACCCATGATAGCACAGTGCACCTCGTGTGTCTGTGAGGCTGTTATGGAGGAACAACTAAGAGGAAAACAGACTCAAAATGTAACAGGCCTTCTCTAGGTTGAGAGTCCAGAGAAATAAAAGAGGGAGACAGATAAAGTTCCCACTGACACAGTCAATCTCTTTCTTTTTCCTATTCACTGTTAGGTAGACTGCTCAAACACACTCTCCCATACATGATCAAATACCTACACTCACAAAGAAAGCCAGGCATGGCTGCACGGCTGCCTGTAACTCCACTGCTATCATGAGTGGAAACCAGAGGATTGCTGGGTTTGCTGGCTGCCAGGCTAGCTGCAGGTTCAATGAGAAACTGTTTCCAAGGAATAAGGCAAGAGAGTGATAGATCAGGACACCCAGTGGCGTTCTCTGGCCTCTGGGGGAACAAAAGGCACCCATATTTCAAAACACATGTGTGCATATACCATACATATAAACCAATACTCACACACACACACACACAAACACACCACCACCACCACCACCACCACCACCAACAACAACAACAATAATAACAGCAACAACAAAATTGAAACACAAAAACCAAAAGAAGCTATGTATTTTGCATCTGGAAAATAGGATACTTGTTGGCATCTAAGGAATTGGCTAGACCCCACCCATTCTAAGGCTCAAGAGTAGGACAGTTTCAACTCATTTGAAAGGCTTGAGGCAACAACTGCTGTGGCCCTTGCTGCACAGGACTTCCTAGGAAGGAACTTGGGTTTTTATTCAGCCCACTGGGCATTCTGAAGCTACTGTAGCCAGATGATAAGGGACCCAGGCTGGCATCCGACCCTGATAGGCCCACATGATGCTAGTTTTGCAGGCATACAGAATACAAGAGCTCCAAGGCCATGGAGGATTCTATCCAAATTTCAATGGGGTCTGGGAAGCCAGACAAACCTGTAGCAGGGTCAGAATCTCTACAGGTAGCTCTTGAAGGGGCAGACTTGGTGAAGCAATGATGGTGAAGAAGATGAAACGGAGACCCCTGAGAGTATGATACTCTAGGAACACGGAATGTCTTTGGAAGAAAGCTTCCATCAATGAGTACAGATACCTTTAACAAAGAAAAAAAGGTAATGAGGGCAAGTAGCAGTAAGGCTGCAGGGTCAAGGCGACCCAAGTGCTTTGGAGTTTACATCACCATACAAAGGCCAAAGCTGACGGACATGGGAGCTACGGGCCTTACGCTGCCATGCTGGGTTTCAGATGTGTTTGGGTCCTGTCCCTCTTGTCTGCGCTCTTATTTATGCAACTGCATGCAGTCAGCAGTACTTTTTTTAATTTCCAAATTTGCCTTCAGCCTCAGTGACTTGAAACTTGGACTTTTGAGCAATCTTAGAACTATTAACTTTGGAGACTTTTGTGGATAGAGTAAATGCATTTCACATTATGAGGTAGTCATAAGCTTTTGGATAACAGGGGCAGAATGTAATAATTTGAATATGAAATGTCTGCAGAGGCTCATGTGTTGAATTCTTGGTTGTTAGCTACTAGAAGTATTTTGAAAAGTGGTGGGAATGTAAAGGGATAGAATGTAAAGAAGGAAATTGAGTGTTCATTCTTGAAGGTGCTAAATGGTTTTTGATTGCCTATTCTTTCTGCTTCCTGGCCATCATGAGGTAATTTACTCATTCATAAGCTCCTGGCATCATGGGACCAGGTGACCACAGGCACAAACTGTGAGTTATAATAAATTTCCCTTCATTCTCTTTCTCCTCTCAAATGTGTGTCATAGCAACAAGAATTTGCTTTATACAGTCACAAATGTAGTAGAAATGACCATGTGGCAAAAAGGATACTTATATGTGGTTCTTTTAATTCAAGAAAAAAAATGCATGAACTTTGTAAGGTGGACAACACATTTAAAAATATATCAAATGTGCAAATGTTATAGGAGACTAGAACAGTAAGTAAATATTCTGATTTCTCAGGAATTGGGATTTGACAATCAGAAGTAAGGGAGATAAAGTGCTTTCCATCCAGGAGATATAATAAATTCAGCATTGCTCCTACAAAGATTCAACAACACCTCAAGGAAGTGGAGGACACAGT